TTCAAGTGCATATTATCAGATTATCTCATTTTAAGAGTAAAAATACTCATTCCATTGGCAAAATGTGTCATTAACCTACTAAAAATAAGGATAAATACACTTAATTTAAGAAATTTTTACTTATTACTAGATCACTTTTCCAGTGTTGAAATCTATTCTAAAAATGAGTGTATTTTCCCTTGATTTGAGCAGCAAGACAATTTGCCAATAGAATAATATGATTTAAGTAAAAAAAAAAAACTACTCCATCTGGTTTCAAGTGCATTTTATCTATTTTATTTTAAGGGCAAAAATACTCCTTCCAAAGGCATATCATCTTATTTACAAATTGAGAGAAACTACACTTATTTTAGGACATTTTTAACTTACTTTTAGATCCTTTTTAATTTGGACAGTTATAGAAGAATTGTTTATTTTCCCAAAACGCTATGCCGGTTAGAATCCTTCATAACATCTTGGGAGGGAGAGTTCTGTTCACCTGCAACCAAACCTCTGCTAAATCACACAGAAACAGCTCTGCAAAACCATCACTGTGAGAAACGGTGTCTGCAGCATCAAGATGACCTCGGATGGAACCAGACCTATTGTCCACAGGGATTAAATTAGGAACGTCTGGCCAGTTTTGACCTGAAACCTTCAGGTGTTTGATAGGATGCTAAAAATGAAGATAAATTGAATCATTCTGCATCAGAATCAAAGTAATAATAGTTAAATACAAGTTGGCGAGAGTTCAACTAAATCTGATCAAAACAGTGAAATGTTCTCACTATCTGATAAATTCAAACAACTTTAACTGAATAGAGAGGTCAATGTTATTCACTGAAGATCTGGAATGCTGATCAATTCCTTCTAAAGACGATTGAACGTGAATATTGGACCAAAACAAGTATTAGTTCTGGGTTTGGACACCGCAAAACAAATCAGTTTGATTTTCAGTTTGTTTATACACGATATAAAAAACTCAGAGCAAAAACTTTTTATTAAAGATCACTCAATAATCTGTGGACAACCTTTAAAAAAAAGCAGCTTTTAAGTTTTTCTCTTTATTCTCAGTTAAAAGCATTTAGCCTCCGTCTGAAGGGATGGGAATCACCTCCAGACTGGTTTGGGTTCCGCCCAACCCAGAACTCTGTGCTCCGCCACCTGCTGTGCCATTTATTTGTGTAGATTTAGCCGTCCTCTGAGGCAGCTTCCTGTCAGCAAGCAGAGCGCTTCCTGTTCCTGGAGGAGGTGGAGAAGATGCGGGTTCACTTCAGATTTCAGTGGGGGAAAAAAAAATAAATCCCATCAATACTGCAGCAGCGAGGAGCGTCTGCTCCGTGCTCCTGAGGATATCCAGTTGCTAATGGGCCTACTTTATGATGCACGCTCTGCATAGTTTTATTTATGTACACGAGTTACTTAAAACGAGAGGCATTTTCCACCGCCGTGACATCGATAAAGAGGGGAGAGGTAGTCCGCAAGTATCTTCCTCAGCTCCACCAAATTGATGCAGAAGCTGTTTACTCTGCATCAGTCCACAGGTTCTTCCACCTCCTGCTATTACCATGACTTATCAATGCAGAGTGTCCGTCCAAGCAAAGTTTTACCAGTCGGCATGCCATCAGCATATAAATAAACAGCTTTCAAACTTAAAGTTCAATTTTGGGTTCAGCTTAGTCCAAAGTTTGGCTCAAAACATGCAAACATGAGTTATAATCAAAAGCCATACACTTTGATAGAAAGCCTTTGAAAGTCAACATTAAATCCGTTTTTTTGTGATAGTTTATGGAACTTTAAGCACAAGTCTGTTTGAGGTAAAAATAAATAAATACAGAATAAAAGATTGCATCAAAGTGTTTTCTTAAAGCACCTTTAGATTTAAATCCATCCATTGTGTCCTCTTTGCAGGGATATTACACATCTTGTTTCACTCTGCCTATGCCGTCCCAAACATTTACGTTTCCTCTCATTTGTACCTTTATTGATTTTCAATTCATGCTTGACTCACTGTGACTTTATTTCGCTGTATTGCATTTAGATTTCCTGTTTTGTCACTGGTTGTTAAGGTAGCTGTCAGTTTCCCGGTAAAACTGTCTCAGAAGAGAAACTAGTAAGCTTCATTTTGTTGTGCCGTGTTGATCCTTTCCTATGATGTCAGAATTCTGCCAAAAGTGAACAAGCAGGTTTATTTAGCTCAGTTTATCCTGAGCTGTCTCTATCTTTATGCTGCTATAGTCTTAGACTGCTGGAAGACATGGCGGTCATTTTTCATTATTCTGCCTTATTCTATCTCTATTCTCCCAATCTTTAATATGTGTTATTTGAGTTAGGCCTGTTTTTCAGTTTTTCATCCTGTTTTTCTCCTAGACATAGCTATAAGTTCAGCTTTTACTTTGATTAGCTAGGTGTGCTCTTTTTCATCCCTTTGACATGAAAGTTTGTGCAGAACTCGTCTGCTTAACCATTTCTTTCCCAGATACATCCGCCCATGGATCTAGTTTACCATGACTTTTTCTAACATAGTATTTATAGATCAGTGCTTCAATGTTCATTTTGTATCTCTGCTTCTGTCTCCTTGAACCCCAGTCAGCCTCGGCAGAAGGCCGCTCACACTGAGCCTGGTTCTGCTGAAGTACGATGACCTGACTTCTCAGATTTCCGGGGACAGTCCCTGTTTTGGACCCGGCTAAAGCTGTCTCCAGAAATGTCCCCGATTTAACTGTTTTATGAATGAGGGGGTAAATATTGTTTGTAGACTGCTATTACAGTAGAAAGAGGGCTCAAGCATGCTGCGCACAGCAACAATAGTTAGCTAACTGATTTGCAGCTGTTACATATAGATGAGGAGCAGAGCGCACCACTTTTAAAAAAGATGAGGAAGTTCGTTATCACAGCTGGTTGCAGCTGCCCTGTGTTATGACGAGCTAATGGGAGCTGGCAGGAAGACAGACCCTATGATCACTCCACTGAAACAGTTTATTAAAGCCTAAATTAACTCAAAAATCTCGAAACTTGCCACCGAAATATGTTCGCTTTTAATATTGTGGTACCTGCAGTTTGTACCACATACTTGAAAAACGCTGACATCTACTTCCAGTCGCTAGGAACAGTAGGGGAAGAGCCCAGAGGCGACCTGGCACTGGGAAAACGATCTAGAAATATGTCAAAATTTCTTAAATTAAGTGTATTTACCCTTAATTTGAGTAGGTAAATAAGATGATTTGCCAATGGAATTAGTATTTTTACTCTTAAAAATAAGATATTTAGATAAAATGCACTTGAAATAAGACAATGCAGTCGTGTTTCCTTGTTTTATATGTAAATTGTCTTGTTCCATTGGCAAATTATCTCTTTTGCCTTGTCAATTCAAGAAACAATGCATTTTTTTAAAGAAAAAATTACTTATCTAAATTTAGATTTTTTCCAGTGGGCCTGCGGCCGCTGAGCTCACTGCATGGACACCGTTTTGAGGTGGACTTTCTCACATAAAAATATATTAGAACTACTTTTTAACCACTTATCACAGCTAATAATGCAAAGCCGTTCTCTGCCATTAGCATATGCTCCTTTATTTAAGTGTTCTAACTGTAATAGTGTTAACTCTTATAATGGTAACTGTAATAATGTTCCAAACATGAGTCCAGTAAAGTCTGGTCTGTATACAAGCATCAAAAATAAAGCAGCAGATGTTTTTTTGCTGCTCAAATCGCAGTGTGAATGTTGCGTTACACTTTCTGATTGTTTGAATTAACCTATGAAACATAATACATTACCTAAAAATTATCTCATGTCTCATTGTTACATTTCCACCTCTAGTCAAGCACACATAATCAGGAAAAAGGTAGTGTTGTAATAAAGACAAAAAAGTTAGCTGCATTCCATCTCAAAATGCAGGAATTAGGTTCCAGAAGGTCTAAATGTCAACATTTTCTGGCGGAAGATACCTCCTGACCCCCCTTTGTCACGTAAAGCCTAAAGATGTGATACACCAACATGTACACCCTATGAAATATTCCCAGCTAAAAGCCTGTGTATGAATATTTCTTAAATGTGTGAACTTTTGGCAGAATTCTGGGCTTTTTATAAGCAGAGGATGGTGAGCAGGACACAGCCCTGTAGGCTCTCCTGTCTGCTCTTTAGCTGGCTGTGTCCCTTGGTACTTGGAAAGCTCTGCTGCTTGGGGGAAAAAATACAATAAAGCTTCAGATGTCCATATTTTTAACGTGTTTGAAGTCCTCCTCTGTAACTACAGCCCTTTTTTTCTGGGTTTATCTCTTCAGAAAGTGACCGTTTAGCAGTTTCTGTGCTGCGACAGCATTTGTTCTTTATTTGAAATAAACAGTAACAGCATGCAGAGCTGTAAACTCCTCCATCAGCCAGTGTGGACGATATCTAACTGTCCCAGAACAACCATTTCTTTCCCCTGCATGTTTCCCTGAGTGGCAGAGAGGGACCCGGATCGGGTCGGTGTCTGCGGCTGCAGAACACATGTAAATCACAGCTTGCCCGGCAGAATGAGGACAGCTACAGTTGAATGGATGTGTTGCTCAGCGCTTGATTCATTGTTGCTCAGCCTCGGCGTGGACGTGAATGTCTCCGTCCTCCTCCGAGGTGGACGTGAAGTTCCTCCCCCTCAGCTGGGACGCCACTTGCTGTGATTAACTACGACCCTCTGCTACTTTACACGTGTTTCAGAGGCACAGGGAGGAATTTTAAGTCTGAAGGCAGGCAGAAAGTTTCTTGTGTGAGTTTGGCTTTACGTCCTCATCCCATAATCTCCTGTCTGCGTCTGCCGCCTCCTCCTGCTGGTTTTAAAGTCATTAGCTTCTTAATCAGAATTTGCCGCAATCTGCATTATTGTGGGAAGATAATTGGATCGGACTCTCCTGCGTGTGAGGGAGAGATATTGTAATTATCAAACATCTTCCATGAATTAGATTTAGACGTAAAGCAGCTTAGAGCTTCTTTGCTTTCCATCAAAGTTTGTTGTTCCATCAAAAGTTTTCTCTTCTCCACAGGAGCCCGGTCGCCGTCAGCCACGGCTGCTACTGTTTGGCCCTGCTGAGGTCAGTGCCGGCTGCAGCCTACATCGTCCTGGTTACCGTCCTGCGTTACCATCTCTTCATCTGGAGCGTCTTCTCCCCCAAATTGCTCTATGAGTCCATGCACCTGCTGCTGACCGCGGGCGTCTGCCTCTTCTTCATCACCATGGAGCAAAGCCACAGCTCCAGTAAGTCTTAGGGAGGTGAAACAGAAAGATCAGATCCTCGGACTGCTGGGACTCCGTCCTGAGAGGAGCTTTAAGTTTAAAAATAAAATGCTACTGATGGAAATGTGTTAAATGAAAACGGTTTGGGATAAATAAAGGTGGGATGTAACTTGTTGAAGACAAACTGTTTTTCTCTGAGATCTGCAGACTAAAAGCAGCTCTGCGAGTTTTTGGAAAACTTTGATGTTTTTATACAATATCCTCTGAAGCATTCAAGCATCCTGGCAGAACCGAATGTGTCTGAAGCTGCAGACCATCGACTCCTGGCTTTGGATGCTTCCAGACACGACGCTAAGATCAGAGGTGAGAATAAGGAGATCAATCAACACAGTTTTCCTGTTAAAGGATTCAGGTTTGGAGTCCTGCTGCTTTTTCCTCACACCCGACATGGATACTGGAATCAAACCGTATTATTAATAATAGCTGCATATCCTCGTGTGACGGATCAAAGGGTCCGCGGTGGATTTCTCAGGAGTTTTTGTCTTGGCCTAAAGGAGCTAAGGCGAGCAAGCGGGATGTGAGACTCTGCAGCCTGCCGTTCGCCCACAGAGAGCTCTAAAAAGCCTTCTAATCAGGCGGCATTAATGAAAATACCTGTGTGGGTGGGAGGAATAGAGGAGTGCAGAGTGGGAGTTTAAAAGACACTGCAGCCTTTTCTCTTCATCACAAACAATTGATTAAACTCCAGTTTTCTGTTGTTGTTTTTTTTTTTTTTTTCATTGCATAAGTTGACCTTTCTGGTGATATTTGTTTATGAAGTTTAACAGTCTCTGGGAAAACAATTTATTCCTCCTAAACTTTTTGTTTGGTCGAGTCACAGAAACTTTAATGTCATTTGTTGGGATTTTGCGCAGCAGCATAAAGCCTCATTAGTACTCAATGCACTGGAATAAGAGCAAGGGGAGCGCACCCTACCTCCTTCCCAGCATGCACCACTCCACCCACAATGAACCAGATGCAGATAGATAGAATATAATTACTTTAGGAACTGAAGCAAGAGAGTAATGGAAAGGAAAAACGATTAAATTCAGTTTATTTATGTAGCGCCAATTCACAACACGTCATCTTAAGGCACTTCAAACAGATCATACAGTCAGATAGGTTCAAAGTTTTCTATCTAAGGAAAATCAGCTGATTGCATCGACTCATTCTGCAACCATTACTCACACCAAGCATGCTTGTAGCGACAGTGGAGAGGAAAACTCCCTTTTAACAGGAAGAAACCTCCAGTAGAACCAGGCTAAGTGTGAGCAAACACACTTTAACTTTAAACAGAGTGCAGACAATAAACAGGGGAACATGTGTTTCCATTATAAATGGGCGCAAAACTATGTCGATATCCTTATTTAAAAAATGCAAAGTTTCCCATTCTGTTATTTTCAATAACATGTTTATCAGGATAACTCCAAAAACATAGCAGCAACCAATGTAAATACTTGCAAGAGATACATCTGTATTACTGCAAAGGCACTGCTGCTCATCGTCATGGTTATTATTATTAATAATTAATTAATTATTAATATCACCTCCATTTCCAGCAGCTTTGAACCTCGTCTCTCCCTTAAGACCTCGCCTCACCCTGCCTGAAAAACACACAATCTGCTCATTTTAATGGCTGAAACCAAACCAGTAACATTTATGCAGCCATCTTTGTAGATCACAATCAACACGCTTTCTTATTGCACATACTAAAAAGATCAGGCCCTTTGGTGTTTTTGCTTATATTGGACCAATTTCTGATTTCAATATAGGTTGAGAAAATCCCTAGTATTAGTTATAAACTAGAGATAGAGCGATGCATCAGCTGGCCCATATTTTTTACGTATATTAGAGGTTTTTTTTTTTTGGTATTGCTATTGGCTGATAAGTGCATGTATTTGCTGACTCATAAGTGCGTTTAGCGGCCATGCCTTGAGATGATAAGAAGCAATGCATTGCTGCTTCCTCCATCTGTTATGTTTCGATTTGTTTGGTTTAATTTGAGGCTTGTACAGGGTTTCTGTGGGTCATTAAAAATCATTAAAAGTCATTAAGTTATTAATTTTTTAATTAAGGCCTTAATTGGCATTAAAACTCATTAAATGTGATTATCATGGCATTTAAAATGCTTTATAAAAAGGTTGATCCTAAAGCCATATGTTCGGAACAGAAGCTCGAGGCACAGAAAAAGCTAGAGAATGGGAAAATGCAAATTTTAACATAAGTGGCTGGAAAACGAGAAATTCAGGACATGGCTGCAGCCTGTCGATATATATATGAAAGTAATGGGAACTTATTGATGGCATTAAAATAATTTCTAACAGCATTAAAAAGCATTAAATTAGAGTTCCTCCTTCCTGTATAAACACTGTTGTATTACATTTTTTGCTGCATTATTTGGAGGAAGAAGAATATCGATTTTAAAAATCTGTCCAAAATAGGCGGCACAGGTTGGAGATCGGTAAGACTGACTATAAAATAATCTCCGATAGTTCAGGCTCATCCGCAGAGAGAAGCACGTCACCCCAGAGCTCCACTAAACCACAGCCTTAACAGAGAAAGGTCTGCAGTTATGTTAAATTAAAACGTAGAAATGCATTTCTACAAGATTACGTCTGCATACCTTTAGGCAGTGCAGCATGATGCTGCCACCACCATGCTTCCCCCTGGGGATGGTGTGTGTTCTCAGTAATCTAGTAAAGCACATCTATCTGCTACCAGCTCTGATCAGCACCTCATGGGCCTCCCCCTGCTCCTTCTTCCACGTATTTTATTATTATTTTATTTGTTTTTAGATGTTTTGAAAGGTATGCATGAGCTTTATACCTAAACAGTTCTCTGCGTTGGTCTGTTGCATAAAATCCCAGTAAATATCATTAAAGCTGGACGTTTTAATGCAAATAAAACTGAAAAAGTGTAAGCGTAATGAATACATTTGCAATTAATCCTCATTTTTTTATGTTTGCAAAATTAATTTCCCAATAGAATAAGGTGATTTAGGTTTAAAACCCTATTATGTAGAAAATGGAAATATATTATTTTAAAAGCAGCACTCATTTCTTATTTATCTGCTTCATTAAAGACAAATACACTCAGTTTAGGAATGTTTGTTTCAAACCTTTCAGCATCACATCTTTATGTCCATTTACTCTCATAAACCAAAGTAAATCCAGCCAATAAGGCGGCTTTGATCCAAAGCAATACGAGCAGCTGTTAGAAAAGGATGATCACGTTTAATAGAAACCTTCTTCCATCCTCTGACTGACGAGAACAATCGCTGAGGAGAAACACCTCAAGAAGAGTCTGAAAGTATCTGAGCTATTATTTCTGTTGGTGTGAAAGAACATCTACGACTGCTTCAGAGCCCCCCCCCCCATCACCACCACCCCCTTTAAGGCCTGAAGAAAAACAATAAAAGGAATGAGCTAAAAGATGCTGCAACAGTTTGCAGTGTTTCTCTTGACGTGCTGCCTGCCTGGTGAAACAGCATCTCGCCTTTAGGCAGAGATCCCTGACGTCCTGCCACAGGCGCCACGGACGGACACCTTCATCCTGTTTGCCCGTGCACAGATCCGCTTTGTTTTCACCACGGCTCACCTTGACTGGGAGCTGGAGTGTGACAGAAAAAAGGAATGCAAATGTCTGAGGCTTCGTCAGAAAGCAGAGTTCAAAGTGTCCTCGCCGTATGTGGATCACTGCAGGTCGGGTCCCCTCCATCAGACGCACGTTTAGCTGTGAGGGAGCCGCTGCTCACAGTTAATTTGACCCTTTTCTAAAGCGCCAGGCTGCTACTGTCAAGTGTCTTTTCCGCTCTTTAGCTCAACAGGGAGTCTCAGCCAGATTTCAAATAAAGTCTGCTATAAATAGTTTATGAGCCAGATAATAATCTACATGACTCTGAGGATTAGTCTGTCAGGGCTCAGTATGCTCCACATCTCTGTCCAACACGCTCAGCTTTGTCTGTACAAACTGAGCTGCTAATCCACACAGATGCTTTCTCTGATTGTTCCTCCTGAAGGCCATGATCACCACCAACCACGTCAATCACCCTTCCTGCTTTGACTCCTTCTTCTGCATGGCGAGTCATTACCCAGCAGGTCCAGAAGTAAAACTAATAGCATGGGCACAAACTGGAGACATCAGAAACCACATTAATATCACTCTGACTGAATCTGCATTCATGTCATCTGAAATTAGATGCTTTAGTTTGAAAAGGAATTTGATAAATTAAACTTTAAAACTGAATTTGTTCGCTAGAAGATGTTTTGCATTGCACTGAAAACTTAATTTGGCTTTAATGTGCTTTCAGCTCTATCATTTAGTTTCAATTTGGAAATTTAGTTTCAGACAACCGGGACCTTAAGGGTCACAACTAGAACTTTTTTTAATCCAAACAATTTATTTAAAAAAAAAAAATATTCACATAATTTTCCAACTAATGCATTTAGTATTAAAACACCTGAATACATTGTGTGGGCAGTTTGCCCAAAAAACAGACCTTGGAGGTAAATGTTGTACTTCCTGGTTATAGATTTAGCCGATCCAGATGTGACATACAAAGAAATGCAGAACCTTTTTACCTAAAATGATCTCAAATTATCTGGTTTCAAAATATTCCAGTCATTACAGATCCAGCTAGAGGAGCATCTGAACTGACAATTCCATTCAGTTTATTTATTTAGCGCCAATTTACAATTTACAGCGCATGTCATCTCAAGGCACTTTATAGAGATAATTCAACCAGATCATAGAGTCAGATTGGTTCAAAGTTTTTTATCCAAGGAAAAAACAGCTGTTTGCATCGACTCATTGACTCAACAGCCATCCCCCATGCCAAGCATGCTTGTAGTGACAGTGGAAAGGAAAAACTACCTTTTAAAGGGGTCATAGAATGCAAAACCCAGTTTAGATTGTCATAGATGAATAATGATAGTTCAGTGGGTGAAATGGACGCACAGAGAAGTCCAAACCCCATCAACACCTCCTTTCTCTGCAAATCTCACAATTCTAAACTTCCACCATAAAACGGGTGAATCCAAACGAAGCCCAGATTTGACGTAAACTCGGGGATGTTGCCTTATTTTGTTCTGGCCTGTACTTTTTTCACGCCCCGAAATTGACATACAGACAGGCAGACGGGGGGGAAGCACGGGGCCACCTGTTTCCAGGTTACCGTCACTGGGTCGGGTTCGGTTGCTCCGTCCGCCACTGGCTCCCTGCCAGGGTTCCCGGGCCAGCCCCGGAGTTGACTGCTTTGTTCGAATGCCGGGTGTGTTTCGACTATGTCATGCACTGTAGTCAACCAAAATCCCGGATGATTTTGAAATTCCCCCGGACATTTTTTAGGTATAAAAAGTAGGACATTTCAGGGTAAAAGAGGACGTCTGGTCACCCTACCATATCAACAATTTGATGTTTCAGTGAGTGAGTGCTTGTTGCTATGATGCGTCTTTGCTCAGGAGCTTCACTCGTTTTAAACCAACCAATCAGCGCACAGCTCATCTAAATATTCATCAGCATACCATAAAAGGAAGAAAACCTGTCGTTTCATTCTAGGGCTTTTAACCAGGCTTGCATTAGGGCTCATAGAACAGCAAATATGCCATTTTCAGCCCAACCAATGTTACACACCCTGTTCAGAGACCTTAAGGACCAGCACCAAATACCCAATAGAATCATTCTATGACCTCTTTAACAGGAAGAAGCATCTAAAGAGGCCTTCTGGGGTTTAAGGAGACAGAAGCAGAGATACAAAAGGAAACTGTCAACCAGCTCCACAGGCGGCCCCATCCAGGAAACACACAGCCAGGCAGACAAGATCTGAGCCAGCTCCCATGTCAGAGGATGAAGAGAGCACATCCAGTTAGTCACCGTCAGAGAAACAGGACTACACTGAAAAACAGGCAGAGTTAGAACATCTATAAAAAAGGTGTTGATGGCAGCCTGTGAAAGACACGCCTTTAGTTCTCTGATGTCGGATTTAGATGTCGGTCATGGTGCTTCATCAGGAAGAACAAATACCCTTCAAATGTTTTTTTAAAACAACAGCAAACCAACAATAACAAGGTCTTTATGAAGGACTGTCCGTCATTCATCTTTAGACATTATAAAATTTGCTTGGTGACATCCGAGATGTTTCTGAGGTAAAGG